ACACTAAAATTAACTCCAGATGGATTAAAGACTTAAACATCAGACCTAACACCATAAAAACCCTAGAAGAAAATCTAGGCAAAACCATTCAGGACGTAGGTGTAGGCAAGGATTTCATGACCAAAACACCAAAAGCATTGACAACAAAAGCCAAAATAGACAAATGGGACCTAATCAAACTTCACAGCTTCTGCACAGCAAAAGAAACAAAGAGACTTTTTAAATGTCTTCCTATTGGCATTCTAATCTCAATTTCATCAAGTTATGTTAATTCAGGGGAAACTGACACTTATTATACTGTCTTCTCACTTAAATACATTATCTTATTTGTTCAAGTCTTGTTTTATGTCATATAAGGTTTAAAAGAAAAGCAGTTTCTGTGCTTTTCTTTTAAAACTTACTTCTAAGTATTTTATAGTTTCTGTCATTTATATAAATGCTATTTTTCCATTTATTTTACTCAGTACTTGTTATTAAAATAATGACTAATTCTTGTATATGAGTCTTGCATTAGTCACCTAACCAACGTTTCTCATTAATTATTGTGTGCTTTTATTTACTTGTGTCTTTGGTTTTCTAAGTATAAAATTGTATCATCAGCAAAAAGTGATTGTTGGCGAGGCGCGGTGGCTCACGCCTATAATCCCAGCACTTTGGGAGGCCGAGGGGGGTGAATCACAAGGTCAAGAGATTGAGACCATCCTGGTCAACATGGTGAAACCCCAGCTTTACTAAAAATACAAAAATTAGCTGGGCATGGTGGCGCGCACCTGTAGTCCCAGCTACTCGGGAGGCTGAGGCAGGAGAATGGCTTGAACCCAGGAGGCGGAGGTTGCAGTATGCCGAGATTGAGCCATTGCACCCCAGCCTGGGTAACAAGAGGGAAACTCTGTCTCAAAAATTTTTTAAAAAGTGATTGTTTTCTCTCTTCTTTTCCAATATTTATATCAATTATTTTATTTTACTGTCTCATTACATCCCTAGGACCTCCCAATCAGTGGTAAATAACAGTGGTGATAATAAACATACCTGATGGGTTTTCTATTTTAATAGAAATCATTTTTATGATTTGATTTTAGGATAATATTCACTATCAGATTTTGACACATAGCCTATATGTTATTTAATTGTCTAATGGAACTGGAAATAACCAGCCACTGGTAATTAGTGTGTAACAGATATAAGACTATGAGTGAGTCAATCATCAAATTAAACTGCATGCATGCCTTGTTCAGTTTGAACAAGGCACAGTTTTCTGCTGTCAGACAAATAACTGAGGTCATAATATCTCATATCACAAGAATCAGGAAAATTTCATGAGCAATTTGTAACATAAAGAAGTTTGGTGGCTAACTTTAAAAAGGAGAACTTGTTTGACAAACTAGTACTCTGAAAATATATGTGATTGTCTAGCTATTTGCAGTCAGATGATTAGCAAGTTCAAAACATTCTGTTTTAACATAAAGGTAAATGTTTTAGTCCATTCAGGCTGCTATAACAAAATACCATAAACCAGGCGACTTACAAACAACAGAAGTTTGTGTAAAATAAATTATTATAAATAAATATAGGAAAGGCAGGAAAGTCCAAGATCAAGGCACTGTTAGATTCTGTGTCTGGTGAAGGCAAGCTTCTTGGTCCACAGACAACATTCTTTGTTGCATCCTCACATGGTGGAAAGGATGAGGAATCTCGGAGTTTCTTTTATAAGGGCACTTAGCTCATCCATGAAGGCTCCACCCTCACGACCTAATCGTCTCCCAAAGGCCCCTCTTCTAATACATCACCTTGGGGATGAATATTTTAACGTGAATATGGAGAAGGAGACATAAGCAGTGCATTGCAGTAAGAATTTTTAAAATAATAGGACAAATAATGGTTGTTAGCTAAAATGAACTACCACAAAAAATTTCCTTCTTTTCCTATCTTAATTATAGTTTAATTGGGAATGGATGTTAACTTTATCAAATGCTCTTCCTTATTTATTCAAATAACATATGATTTGCTAACATATTAAAGTATGTTGCTAGATTTCCTGCTATTCATCTATGCTTACATTTCTTTATTTTTTCGTTTTGTTTTTTTTTTTTTAGATGGAGTCTCATTCTGTTGCCCAGGCTGGAGTGCATTATCAGGATCTCGGCTCACTGCAACCTCTGCCTACCAGGTTCAAGCAATCCTCCTGCTTCAGCCTCTCGAGTAGCTGGGATTACAGGCACCTGCCACCTCGCCCAGCTAATTTTTGTATTTTTAGTAGATAAGGAGTTTCACCATCTTGGTCAGGCTGATCTTGAACTCCTGATCTCATGATCCACCTGCCTCCGTCTCCCAAAGTGCTGAGATTACAGGCTTGAGCCACAGTATCCAACCTATGCTTACATTTCTAAAAATGTATTATTCTTAGATTTATTGCCAGATTAATTTTGCTAATACTTGATAATTTTTGCATCTATATTCATAAGTGAATATTCATATATTTTTCCTTATATTTTATTGCATCTACATTCATAAGTGAATATTCATATATTTTTTCAGTATGAAAGTTATGATGAGTTTATAAAATCATTTAGAGAGAGATCTATCTTTTTACATGGTTTGGAATCATTTGTAAAACAATGGAATTATTCATTCTTTAAAGACTAGATAATTGTTGTGAACCCATCTATTCCTGGTTTTTTTTTACTGGATCTTTAATTACCTTTTCATTCTTGTCATTAGTTTTCCATTTCTACTTTGTTCATTTTCAATTACTTATATTTTTCTTTGAAATAAAACATTCCCTCTAGTTTTTCAAATGGCTATAAAGAAATTGCATGCAATACCTCTTAAAACTGTTAATTTTCCTAATACCTGTTTCTTTCTCCTTTCTTTTTCCTAATCTTTATATACTTTTTCTCCTTTTCTCCTTAGACTCAATAAGCGGCTTATTGGTCATTTTAAGAAGCAGGGTCCAGCATGATGGCTCACACCTGTGATCCCAATGCTTAGGAGGCTAAGGTGAAAGAACAATTTGAGGCTAGGAGTTTGAGGCTAGCCTGAGCAACATAGCAAGACCCTATCTCTAAAACAATTTTTTAATTTAAAAAAAGCAGCTTTTAAATTATAAACTGTTTTTACTCCCACTCATTATAGATTTTATCTTTATTAATTTTTTCTTTTAAGTAGTTGTTTTTCTAATTTCTTGATATGAATACTAAGTTCTTTTTTGTAAACTTTTTTTTTAGAGAGAGAGAGAAAATATATTTAATTATTTCTCAGGCTAATCTCTTAAATTGCTCAGTGTTTTCACAGTGCAAGGGGAGGGATTTTTCTCAGCCAACATATACCAGTGGTTCTGACACATGCAAAAACACTCCCAAACATGGTGCTTTAAACTTACTTTTAATTTCTGCACTGAAAAAGTAAAGGAATGTTAAAACGATGGCAGATTAGTTTACAGTAACTTTATCTTTGCCTTTAAATTAACCTTTGCTCCTGGGAGCAGAAGAGGAAGAGAAAGACAGGAGAACATCAAAGCATAATGGTGAAACCATGACCAGTTCTGGCTAACAAGGGTTCTAAAAATCTGGACACGGTGCTGACAGCACACTCGTTTGTAAACACTGACAGGCAACCGTTAAGATAAAAAATAATAATAATAATTCCATTCTTAAAATCAAGCACAAAATCTGACAATAAAACATACCCAAGGGTTTGTGTGTCCCCATCTGATCTGGAAGGCAGCCACACGGTGTGAGTCACATGCTAGGAAGAGACAGACATCTCAACAGAGAATTCCCGCTTTGCTGAACTGCAACGCGTACTCCCTCTTCTCACCAGTACAGAAATGTTCTGCAGGTAGGAACGTGAGAGCCCCGGCTCATTTACCTGTACAACGCTCGCTGACAGTGAGAGCCACAGCGGGGGCCGGGGCTCTGTGTGCTTTGGAGGCTACTCCAAACATTCCTCTGGAATGTTCCGCATTCTCAAGGTTTGGTTGGGCTTTGGGTTTAGTAACGCTCCACATATTGTTTAAGTGCTCGCTTTATTTCTCATGTGCAATCCGTTTCTGTCTAAAGCTTTCAGAAGAACGTGTACAGACACCCCGCAGAGACAAGGATCATGACGGGGCCCTCCTGCTTCTTGCGGTGGGGCGGGGGCAAAGAGGCGCATCACAGAAATAGAGAAATGACATGTTCCACTGCAGTTCAACCCTCGTCCCTGATTCGGTCAGTCCAGAGGCGGGGGTGGGGCTCCTCAGTAGGTGATTGTCCACTCCTTAACAGAGGCGACGTGGGAGGTCGTGCCCAGCGTGCGCTCGTCCAGCCAGGCCAGGCCAGGCTGCTGACATAGTGCAGCCGATGTGCGCCTTGGATCTTGACTCTGGTTTCCGGGTCACTCAGGGTCCAGATGTACACCATCCTGTCCCCGCCACTGGGGCCAAAGTGTTCATCGTTTGGGGACCAGGCCAGGCAGACGATTTTTGCATGGTGTCCATCAAAAACACTGTTCTCGAGTAGCCGCCGGCAACGTTGAACACCGTGACCAGCTTGCTGGCGTCGCACACCGCGAGGAAGGCGCCGTCGTGGGAGGAGGCCACCTCGGTCACCCGGCCCTTGGCCTCTCGGAGCTCGCCCTCGTCCTTCAGCCTGGTGCCCAAGATGGAGTACGGGCGGGCGGAAGTGCGTGCGCGCCCCCCCTCCGCCGGGCTGCGCGGCCACAGCTCCGGGCTGGGAGCCGGGGTTGTGATTGCTGAAGCACTTCCTCTGAGTCTCCAGCAGGACTCTCTGCCGGATGCACCCGACCATGGCGTATCCCCCGGGGCCGACGGCTGCGCACTTTGGCTGAACGTCCAGTTTCACCACTCCTTGTCCACTGTAGCCCCGCGGCGTGAGGCTGGTGTACCGCACGGTGTCGTCTATGCAGCAGCTGATGAGCCACCCCGACTCCGCCATGGTCCATCTGGACACCTGGTTCGTGTGGCCCTTCCCAGCGAAAGAGTCCTTCTCCTCTGTCTCCGAATCCCAGGAATTAATGTGTCCGTCGTGGCTCCGGTAGTAAGTGTAGGACTTGCCTCCGTTTTTATGCACCGTCAGACACAGGATCGATTTACTGTGGCCCTTGATGACGCGCAGGGGCTTGCTGGGGTTGTTTCTGTCCAAATAGTTGATGTACCCAAACGGGGAGACACTGAGCAGGTGGTCCTTCTTCCACAGGCAGCCCAGCTGCTGGTCCAGAACCGTGGAGCCCATGGGAATTGTGCTGACCACCAAGTTCACGTTGGCATCCCAAATCTTGGAAGTTTTGTCCCCAGAAGCAGAAAGCAATGGGTGCTGTCCGGACTCCAAACTAATGACGTAAATCCCGCTGTCGTGGGCCTTTCTTCTGCCCAGCATTCACACCTTCTCCCCGGTCTTACCGTCATACATGTGTATCTGGCCGTCAGCACTGGCCGTGGCAAATCTGTTCCCATCAGGAAAGAATTGCACACAGTTGACAAAGCTGAACAATTGTGAACTTGAATTTGAATGGGGGGCGGGGGTCCCTCAAAGAATGCCTTTCTTAAATAATGAACATATTTAAAGCTATAAATTTATCTTTGGGCACATATTTTGCAGCGTCCAATGATTTTAGTATAAGGTACTCTCTTTTTAAAATTTTTATTTAAAGACAGGGTCTTGACATATTGCCCAAGCCTGACTTGACTCCTGGGTTCAAGCAATCCTGCCTCAGCTTCTGAAGTAGCTGGAACTACAGGCACAGGCCACCGTACTTAAAGTGCTCTCCTTTTTTATGGCTTCCTAGAAAGTTTGAAACTTTCCTTTTGACTTCTTTTATCTAGAGATTATCTATGCATGTAGTGCTTATTATAATCCTGGTTTAAAAAAACATTTTGGGTCACATTCTATTTCCATTTTTACTGAAATATAATCCTAGAATGTGACCTGTAAAATCGCTATCCTTTAAAATTAAAGGTTTTCTTTGAGATCAAATGCATTATCAATTTTTATAAATTATGCAACTGCAAATGGAAAAATGAATATTCTCCATTCAGAGACTATAAGCTTCTATAAATACCAGCTACATTAAATGTATTGAAAGTATCGTTCAGCTCCTCTGTGTTCTTGCTTCATTTGCTTACTAAATCTGTCCAATTTTAAGAGATGACAGAAGTCTTTCTGTATCATTATGTTCTCCTTGGTGGAAGGGGAGGTGTCTCTACAATTTTAGAGAGAGGGATTGGTGAAAATTAAACCGAGACCAGAGAACCTGGAAGATCAAGTCATGCAGCCCACTGCAAAGAAGAGCATGAGTGCCAAAGGAACAGCAAATGCCAACACTGCCAAGCATGTTCTAGAAGCCATGAAGAGGCCAGTGTGGCTGGGAGAAATAACAAGGGGGAAAGTAGGGAGCCAGGTAATGGGGCCAGATCATATAGGGCCTTGTAAGGAAGGAGGGAGGGAGAGAGAGAAGATGGGGTGAAGGAAGTTTGGCCAACATTTGGGAGGAATAAGTATGATAAAAACAGAAGAATATTGGCAATTTTCTCCTCTGTCCACATATCAAATAACTCTCAAAGAGCCTGATGGCTTCACTTGACATCTCAGAAAACATTTACAGTAGCACACTTAGCAAAGCCTCCTGTTAACCTAGTTTCGTTTCTTCCATTTCATGGTGTGCTTAACAGCAGTGTGAGACACAAAATCCTGCGTAATGATGAATTAATAAATAAATACAGTGAAAAAAATGAGAATCAGCCTCAGAAACTCAGCAGCTTCTCTCTTAGTTGTAAATGCTGTTCATTAGTCTGTGTTCCTGCATGGCATTAGGTTGCTGCTCCAGACTAGTCAGGGGAATGGGTAAGACACAGTGAGTTTCTGTCTACCACTTTCTAGCCACGTGACTGTCTGCTACAACCCCAGTTAGAGTCACTCCAATCTTGTCCCTGGACTGCAATAGCATCTTAACTGGTTCTCCTGATTTCTTGTTGTTGTTGTTTTGTTGTGTTGTGTTGTGTTGTGTTTGAGTTAGAGTTTCACTGTGTCGCCCAGGTTGGAGTGCAATGCTGCGATCTCGGCTCACTGCAACCTCCACCTCCTGGGTTCAAGTGATTCTCCTTCTTCAGTTTCCTGAGTAGCTGGGATTACAGATGCCCATCACCACCCCTGGCTAATTTTTGTATTTTAAGTAGAAACAGGGTTTCACTATGTTGGCCAGGCTGGTCTGGAACTCTTGACCTCAAGTGATCCGCCAACCTCGGCCTCCCAAAATGCTAGGATTACAGACTTGAACCACCATGCCTCGCCTGGTTCTTCTGTTTTTTGCCTCACTATAGGCTCTTCTCCAGGTGTGAAATTAGAAATATATATTTTGGTCTCCACCCCCAGTTCCTGATGTAGAGCTCCTAAAACCATGGTAGATGGGGTGCCACAAGAATCTTTTGTTCTAGCATTTGGTGTTTGACCAGGTATTGACACAGAACTCCTAAAGCCTTCGTAATTTCCTGAGTGATAAGAGACATAGAGTTCCTAAATCACTTGAAATTTTCTGCGCAAATAGCAGCATTTTTTGTACTGACGAGGTGACTCTTCGTGGACTCCTGGATAGCTTCAGGATGGGGCTGGTTTCCAAGGGAACCAATCATGTGATAAGAGAGTTGGAACCTCCATCTCCTATCCCCCACGCACCCCACCCTAGAAGGAAAGAGAGGCTGAAAGTTGAGTTAATCATCAATTGCCAGTGAAATTAGTCATGCCTAGGTAATGAAGCCTCCATAAAAACCACAAAGGAGAACTCAGAGAGCTTCCAGGTTGCTGAACATGTGGCGGTACATGCAAGGTAGTGTGCCCAGATGGACGTGGACGCTCCACACCATTCCTCACCCTATGCACCTCTTCAGCTGGTCATTCATCTGTAGGCTTTATAATATCCTTTATAATAAATTGGTAAATGTGTTTCCTGTGTTCTGTGAGCCATCCTAGCAAATTAATCAAACCCAAAAAGGAGGTCATGAGAACTTAAATTTATAGCCAGTCAGAATTATAAATGACAATCTACTACCTGCCACTTGGTATTTTTAGTGTGGTCAGTCTTGTGGGACTGACTTATGGGATCTGACTGTAACTCCAGGTAGCATCAAAATTGAATTGGAAGACACCCAGCTGGTGTCTGCTGGAGAATTTTGGTGATCAGAGGAGAATAGGGTTGTGTCAACTGTATAAGAAAACCTGTTGTAGCAACTACCAAAATGATTTTTAAAGGTAAAATCAGATGAACTGTCTTTCTGAGAACTGTCCAGAGCTTCCCAATGACCAGAATAAACATCTACACCTCTTGACACAGCATTCCAAGATCTACATGAATGGAACACCTTTTAAACTCTTCAGCACACCTTGTTCTACTTGCACCCAGAACCATGCTCCAACCACTCTGGCCTCTTTCTTTCTCCCTAAAGAAGCCACGTTTGTTTCCATCTCGGGTTCTCTGGTCTGCTGTTGTTTGTGCTTGGCATGCTCTAAACTCCCCAGCCTGCCCCATCCCCCATGACAGAATGCTTCTCTCCTTCCTATTTTCAGTTCTCACCTCAGAAATGCCTGAAAAACTGCCCTAGCTAAAGCAAATGTCCCCAAGCAGGCCTTCTCCTTCACAATACTCTATCTTCTTTATGGCACTTATCACTGCCTTATTTATGTGTTTATTATCTATGTCCTCCCACTAAAATATAAGTCCCTTAATAAAGGTGGGGACCTCATCTGACCTAATCGCTGCTATAGCCTCATGCCTTGAACAGTGCTTGTCCATAGTAAATGTTCAATAAATAGATGTGATGCATTAATTACCATTGCTTTCTGGATACAATCCAAACTTCTTATCATGAAAATCAAGTACTACATCATCTGGTGTTGACTTATGTCTTCAGGCTCATCTTCTGCTTCTCAATCCCACTCCAGGAAGCAACTGGAAGCCACTGTGAAGTATTTCTGGTCTGATAAGTCTGAAAAGAGTAACTCTAAGTATATGAATAGTTTCTATAAAGTCTTTACCACAATCCAAATACTGAGAAGGAAGGAGGAAGGTAGAGAGAGGGGGAGGGAGGGAGAGAGGGAAAAAAGGAAAAAAGGAAGAGAAACAGACTTGTATGTGTCAGGCATGAGTTAGGGTGGGTAAAGGGTAAAAAAGCTTCAAAATAAGCTTGCTTCTCATAGAGGGGGATTTGAATAAAGGGCAGAATTAGAATAAAGGATGGGGGATTTCTAAATGGAAAATTACAAAGATAGTTTATATTTTATAAGTGTTATAAGTTATTATGGTTTGGCTCTGTGTCCCCACCCAAATCTCATCTCTAATTGTAATCCCCACATGTTGAGGGAGAGAACTGGTGGGAGGTGATTGGATCTTGGGAGTGGATTCCCTCATACTGTTCTAGTGATAGTGAGGAAGTTCTCATGAGATCTGATGGTTTAAAAGTGTTTGGAAGTTCCCATCTCATTCTTGCTCTCTCCTGCCACCATGTAAGATGTGCCTTGCTTCCCCTTCACCTTCTGCCATGATTGTAAATTTCCTGAGGCCTCCCCAGCCACGCAGAACTGTGAGTCAATTAAACCTCTTTTAATTATAAATTACCAAGTCTCAGGTAGTATCTTTATAGCGGTGTGAAATTTGACTACATAATTGTAAGCAAGAAAAATGTTTTAAGACATTGGTAATTTGCTATGTAATTTTTACTTACACATTTTAATGCTTTAACTAGAGAGAAAATACCTTCTTTCTTCCTTTCTTTCTTTTTGTGGAATCCCCAAAGCCTTGAGTATAGTGTTCAGCATGCAGTGGACAAACAACAAATGCTTACGGAGCAAATAAATGAATGGATGACAATTGAGGGTTTGTGGGCTAGAAAGGGATGAGAAATGGGTAGTTGACAAGAAGGAAAAGTTCATGCCTCCCTCGACAAAATCAAGAATATCTCCATGGAGGTAGTCCAAGGATCCATCTCAAGGCCAGGGTCAGAACCGAGAATCATGCTTCAGTAATGGAAAAAAAACATAGTGGAAAATTATTCCTGACAAGAGCAGATGTGAACCTACAAGTGTATTCATCCATGTAGAGAAAAGGAAACCTATACCTGGCCCTCTAACCAGAGCTACTGTATGCTTTCAGGGCAGAGAGATAATTTTTAAACATTTGAATAGAAAACACTTAACAAAATGACCACTGAGAAGCATAGTATCTTTTCTATCCTCCCACTTCATTGCAAACAGGAAAGTGGCTTCCAAGGTGAGCTGTAAGGGTAAGGTAAGGCTGAACAGCAGCCAGAGGGAAAAGAGGGGATCTGATTATTTCAACATATTCTATGAAAATGCACTCCCAGACCATTTTAAAAAAACAATTGTGCTAAGTGTCTGGGAACAGCAGGCTGATGAGGACAGGCTGCCTTGAGTTCCTGCTCTGCTTTCACGTCTGAGCCACACTTTCCCTTGGGCATGTCAACAGAATTTATGTCCCTGCAGATGAGCAGCTAGTACAGATGTTTAAAAAGCAAAAGCATATCCTCAATTTAAAAGCAAGAAGAGAGAGAGGGTAAAGTTCTTTCTTTAAAAATAAGAAGGAAATCATTCCTGCCCATCTTTATTCCTTTTTTTTTTTTTAATTTTACTTTAAGTTCTGGGTTACAGGTGCAGAACATGCAGGTTTGTTACATAGGTATACGTGTGCCATTGTGGTTTGCTCCACCTAACAACCCATCAGCTAGGTTTTAAGCTCTGCATGTATTAGGTATTTGTCCTAATGCTCTCCATCCCCTTGCCCACAACCCTCCAATAGGGCCCAGTGTGTGATGTCCCCCTCCCTGCATCCATGTGTTCTCATTGTTCGACTCCCACTTATGAGTGAGAACATGTGGCATTTGGTTTTCTGTTCCTGTGTTAGTTTGCAGAGAATGATAGCTTCCAGCTTAATCCATGTCCCTGCAAAGGATGTGAACTCATCCTTTTTTATGTCTGCATTATATTCCATGATATATATGTGCCACATTTTCTTTATCCAGTCTATCATGGATGGGCATTTGGCTTGGTTCCAAGTCTTTGCTGTTGTAAATAGTGCCACAATAAACATACATGTGCATGTGTCTTTATAATAGAATGATTTATAATACTTTGGGTATATACCCAATAATGGAATTGCTGGATCAAATGGTATTTCTAGTTTTAGATCCTTGAGGAATCGCCACACTGTCTTCCACAATGGTTGAACTAATGTACACTCCCACCAACTGTGTAAAAGCATTCCTATTTTTCCACAGCCTCATCAGTACTTGTTGTTTCCTGACTTTTTTTAATAATCACCATTCTGACTGGCATGAGATGGTATCTCATTGTGGTTTTGATTTGCATTTCTCTAATGATCAGTGATGATAAGCTTTGTTTCATATGTTTGTTGGCTGCATAAATGTCTTCTTCTGAGAAGTGTCTGTTTATATCTTTGCCCACTTTTTGATGATTTTTTTCTCATAAATTTAAGTTCCTTGTAGGTTCTGGATATTAGACCTTTGTCAACAGGTAGATTGCAAAAATTTTCTCTCATTTTGTAGGTTGCCTATTCACTCTGATGATAGTTTCTTTTGCTGTGCAGAAGCTCTTTAATTTAATTAGATCTCATTTGTCATCTATGGCCATACCACCCTGAATGAGCCCAATCCTGTCTGATCTCAGAAGTTAAGCATGGCCGGGTTAGTACTTGGTTAGTACTGGTTAGTACTTGGATAGGAGATCTCATTTGTCAATTTTGGCTTTTGTTGCAATTGTTGGTGTTTTAGTCATGAAATCTTTGCCCATACCTATGTCCTGAATGGTATTGCCTCGGTTTTCTTTGAGGGTTTTTATGGTTTTAGGTTTAACATTTAAGTCTTTAATCCAACAACAGACAAACAGGGAGCCAAATCATGAGTGAACGTCCATTCACAATTGCTACAAAGAGATTAAAATACCTAGAAATACAACTTACAAGGAACATGAAGGTCCTCTTCAAGGAGAGCTGCAAACTGCTGCTGAAGGAAATAAGAGAGGACACAAACAAATGGAAAAACATTCCATGCTTATGGATAGGAAGAATCAATATTGTGAAAACGGCCATACTGCCCAAAGTAATTTATAGATTCACCGCTATCCCATCAAACTACCATTGACTTTCTTCACATAATTAGAAAAAAGCTACTTTAAATTTCATATGGAACAACAACAAAAAAAAGAGCCTGTATAGCCAAGACAATCCTAAGCAAAAAGGACAAAGCTGGAGTCATCATGCTACCTGACTTCAAACTATACTACAAGGCTATAATCAAAACAGAATCGAGCGCGGTGGCTCAGGCCTGTAATCCCAGCACTTTGGGAGGCCGAAGTGGGTGGATCATGAGGTCAAGAGATGAAGACCATCCTGGCCAACATGGTGAAATCCCGTCTCTACAATTAGCTGGGCATCGTGGCGCACGCCTGTAGTCCCAGCTACTCGGGAGGCTGAGGCAGTAGAATTGCTTGAACTCAGGAGGTGGAGACTTCAGTGAGCCAAGATTGCACCACTGCACTCCAGTCTGGCGCCTGGCAACAGAGTGAGACTCAGTTTAAAAAAAAAAAAAAAAGTCTCCTGAGAGGAGAGTCCTTGCCTATTTGTGTACTATCTCCCCATTGCCTAGAAGACAGTCATAGCAGAAGCTTCGGTGTTTGAATTAATAGTTCCCAAATTGTGGAGTTCTTATTTGATTTTGTTATGCTGCATGGCCCACCAACCTTGCATACCTCTTTAAAATAAGTTGTGTTTCCTAAGAATAACATCTGAAACACAAGCCATGCATTATGCACATCACTCTTCATCACAGCATATTTATAAATGAAAAAGCATCAGCTATCACTCTAAATGCACAACATCTATAAATTGAAATATTTTGCAAGGAATTTAAATGATGTTTACAGAGAAACTGTAGTATTACAGGGATATGTTTGCTCTATTATATGAAAAAAAGCAGCACACAATATGTATTACATTATGACCACAAACAAGGTTTTTTTTAGATGTTTAGAAAAGAGATTGTAAGGAAATAAATCAAAATGCTGAAAGAGTTGTCTTTGGGTAGCACAATTAAGAGCCACTAATTTTCTTTTTCTTCTTTCTTCTTTTCCACATTTTAAAATTTTCTATCATGAACATGCGTTACTCTTATAATAAGAAACAAAAATTATTGTATTTTAAGAAAAACTAATTGTAACTGCATAGTACTCTCACAATAACAAAGAAGTAGACATTTTCACTGATTTTTATTCCACTTTAAAGCAATAGTTTACAAAATGAAAACATAAGCCACCATTGTTATTTACATTGCCAAGCTGATGAGGGAAATTTTCTTCTTATAGTAATGTTTCAGTCAATAAACAAAAAATGAATAACAGAATATTACCATTTTTCAATTCCTAATAAAGTAAAGGATCTAAGACAATGATCATTGTCATGACTACCAGTCATTATGTGTCTCCTAATGAGAAAAAAACAACATAACCTGCAAGTAGTCTTAGCAAAATTACAACTTAAAATCGAGCTGGAGCTTCTGGATCAAGATACTTGTTCACAGGAAATTCAGGAACCAGAAAAACACAATAATTGATAGTACAGAAATGCAAAATCCACAATGTGGAAAACTCTGTAGGACAAACAACCCAGTTCCATAACAAATAAATAAAATGAAAAAAAAAAAAAAAAGAGTAGGGAGGAAAGGAGGAATCCTATATATTAAAAAAAACTTAAGACACATAGATCAATTGCAACAAATAGATCTTCATTGTCCTACTCAGTAGCCACTACCCACATGTGGCTAGTTCAAATTGAAGTGTGCAAAATACACATTAGATTTCAAAGACTTAGTATAAATATATATATATATATATATAGTATCTTATTAGAATATTTTAACTGATATGTTGACATAATGATAATGTTTTTGGTACATTGGCTTAAAAAACTAATTTCACTTTTACTTTTTAAATTAAAATTACAAATTCATATGTGGTTTATATTGCATTTGTATGATAGTATTGCTATTATTAATATTATTTAGATTCTGATATAAATACACAAGTAATATATATATAATTACTTTAAGTTTGATGATGATATTGTGATTATGCTTTTAAAAATAGTCCTTATCTTTTAGAGCTACATATGAAATATACAGGGATGGAATGATATTATGACTAGGACTTGCTTTAAAATAATGTGGTGGGGAAAAGTGGATAAGTGTGTAGATAAATAAGAATGGGCATGAGTTGGTCATGTGGAAATGAGTATGAAATTCACTGTATTAGACTCTCTACTTTTGCATATGTTTGACATTTTCCATGATAAAAGGTTAGAAGGAAGTGGATGAGGCTACAACTGTGGGCATACTTTTAAGAACTAAGAGCAAGATGGTAAATAGTCTGCCACAGCAACAGACACCAGACCTGGTATGCTTCACTGTAAACTCCTTATAGGCTACCCCATCCCTGATCTCAAACCCTTCTTCTGCACTCAACCTCCTTTCTGTTATTTAGCTTTTACTTTGGAAATGCATCCTTGACTTAATTGTCTTACCCCAGACCTTCTGTCTGGCCGATGGACCTTAACTTTGTGTTTATTATTGCTGGTAACAAATTCCCCCAAAACTTGGTGAATGAAAACACTAATCATTTTATTATTATGTCTTCTGATTCTGGGGGTTGACTAGGTTGAGCTGGGCATTTCTCACCAGGAGTTTGTCATGTAGTTACAATCAGGAGGTGATTGAGACTAGAGACATCCAAAGGCTTCCTCACTCATACGTCTGTCAGTCAAAGCCAGCTGTTGGCTGGGATTTCAGCTGAGGCTGTCACCCAGAACACCTATACATGGGTTTTCCATGTGACATGGGCCTCCTCACCATATGGTGGCTAGGTTTCAAGAGTTTGCATCCCAATAGTATCGCAGGTAATAAGTCTATCACCTTTATACCATAGTCTAGAAGACATCACTTCAATTGTAGTTACCAACCCACCAACATTCAAGGGTAGAAAACCTTGGTCCCACTTCTTGATGGAAGGAGTGCCAATGTCACACTGGAAGATGAGTGTGTGCAATAGAAATCTTGTTGCAGCCATCAAGGAAAGTTCCATCTGCCATGCTTTGGATCCCCCTTGGTCTGCACATTTATTTCTCTGGCTCTGACTAGTTTCCAATTATTAGCAAGCCAAACAGCACTTCTTCTGCTTAGAACTATCATCTATCTGATCCTGCTCAGCTTGCACATCATTCTAGCACTGGTACTGCTTGCCCACCAACTTCTGCCTTTACCTGTTAACCCCCTCTTTTCCTCCTCCATCATGTCTTTTCTGCTCCAAAATATATAAGGACATAATATTAGAAAACAACATTGGTCGTATACTCTTGAAAACACCCTACCTTTACAAACCTGACCCAAGAAATACAAACAGGCAGATATGAAATACAGTGATAATAAACATGCTTAATTAAATTTTAAAACTAGTCAATGACTTTGCATTGTTAATCCTTGGTTTGTGTCATTATTATATAATGGGCAATAAAAGTGCTCAATGTTGGTGTCCTGGAAAAGCTCTTACTCTTAAGTAGCAGGTAGAAAAAAAATCATTCTACATAGAAGATCCCTATCACCAGAAACATTATGGCACCCTCTGCTGTCAGGAAACAAAGTTTAAAGGTACCCTGTGTTCATTTTCCCTGCAGGATTCTTCAGCATCCTGTTCCCATAGGCTGCCAATCATCTTATTCAGATGTAAAAGCATAATTTGGAGAAGAAAAGCAAGCAGCTTAAAGCAGGCAAGATATAAAGGTAAAGGTAAAAAATAAAAACCCATCAGTGTGTGTAGTTCAATGGAAATAAGTCTGAAAGGAGAAAATAAGCTATGTATAGAATCTCAAGAGGTAGCCAATATCAAAAACATAATATAGCTATCCTTGTCTAAGGCCTTTACAAAAGTAATCTTGACAAATTGCCCATGAAACACAGAAAGGTTAAATATAGCCCAAGGTCACAGAGCAAGTAAATGGCAGAACCAAGATACAAACCCCAGCAATCTGAATCTAGAGCCTGTAGTATCTTTAACCACTCTACTCTACTGCCTATTAATGGCGGGGGGGAGGGGGGAACTTCCTTAAGTATATCAAGAACTATTATTAGATATTATTGCCATTACCTAAAAGAATATTGACTGCCAGGAAAATTTCTTGCCCCACATAAAGCAGAGAAAATGTAATCCAAGTCTCCCATTCACAATAAGCTATTCTGAAGTTTGAGATTACAGGACCAGCACAGTGGCTTCACGCCTGTAATCCCAGCACTTTGGGAGGCAGAGGCAGGTAGATCATCTGAGGTCTGGAGTTTAAGACTAGCCTGGCTAACATGGTGAAAAAACATCTCTAGTAAAACTACAAAAAATTAGCCAGGTGTGGTGGCACGTTCTTGTAATCCCAGCTGCTTGAGGGCTGAGGAGAATAGCTTGAACCTGGAAGGAGGAGGTTGCATGAGCCAAGATTGTACCATTGCACTCCAGCTTGGGCAACAAGAGTGAAACTCCGTCTCAAAAAAAAAAAAAAAAGATTACTTTCTCTTCTAAATTTAGAAATAATTTGCTCTTTGGAGAAATCAAAATGTATTTTGCTAAACTCAAAAGTAATGTCTCTGGTTCACAAAGACTTGTTCACTGACCCAGTGAAACCTATAGGGGAGTAGGAAGCCTTTTCTAATGAAGGACAAAGCAACTAGTTCTCATCTTCTTCCATGGAATAATGAGCCAAACAGGTCTGTGTACAGATGATAGGAATGCTCAAAAGGTTGGAGAGCTCTGGGCTGCAGACTGAAAGAAGCAGGACAGAATTCCTGGTATGGTGCTAGAAGAACATCATGTTCAGTGAGACCCTGCAGGCAGAGCAAGGAGCAAGGATAGGTGTTTCTCAAAGAGGGTCACCCTATTTATACCAGCCTCCAATGTATTCATATACAGAAACTTAAAGGATAATGATATGAAAAATAATGAGAAACTCTTCCTTTGCAGACTTTCTAAGAAAGCTTGGGTAAGTAAATTGAAGTCTGCCGGGCTTCAGTTTGACCAAGCAAAACCAGAGTGAGTTGGACTACATGACCTTTAATTCCCTTCCAGCTTTAGAGTCTGTAATTCTATTATTTTTAATTAAATCCACTAATCTACACAATAAAATAACCTTAATAAATACATCAACTCATAAAGAGGTGAAAAGAGATAGATTAATTCTGACAAATACTGCTCTGTGCCTAGGACATCAATGCGATTTTTTTTTAAGTGCTGAGATTTACACTGGCTGGTATTACCTCATTCTTGAGATGACAGAGTGGAAGGCGGGCCTTGCCTGGTGCCATAACCAACCATCCCTGGAGGTCAGGTCAGTTTTAGAATCTATACCAGAAAGGGGTTATTTATCTCATGCTCCACAAGTTACCTTTGGCCCAGCGGGTCTGATTACCTTCTATCCATAGGGTGCCAGGGCAATAATACTAGGGCTGTCTCAGGGACCTCTTCATTTTCTTGACTCAGTTAATTGAACGGAAAAGTCTTTCCCCTTTAGAAGTATTGGAAAGAAATCCTCCCTCCTTCATGGCTCCACCATTCATCCCACCCCATCAGACAAGGGAGTAACTTGGCAAGATTTGGGGACAAGGCATTGCATATGCATGGTCTAGGCCCCTTTCTAGCATCTAGCCTTTCCCCAGGCAGCTGCAGTGCTTAGACTCACCCCTCCCTTCCCCAGGGTAGATCCTACCCTGTAGAGGATGGTCTGCAGTCAGTGACTATATGCATACGTTCAATTTAGAGCAAGGAAGTGCAAACTCAATTTGGCCTTGGTTCCAAGCCACAATCTCCTTTCCAGCTTTATCATCAATATCTGACTCTCATATCTACTTCACAATTGATTCAGAACTTGATTCAGAACTCCAGAGGAGAATTATACCCCTTTAAAACTTTAAGAGAAGTTACTGATCATATTGAGTTCAATGATCAGGCACTGTACTAAGTGTGCTAAAGGAATTCAGAATTCAACAAAGGAAATTAGTGTGCAAATAATCTAAGCAAGGCAGAATGTAATAAATGCCCATCAGAAATTCAAGCAAATGCTGTTGAGATGCCAAGTGGGAGGTGAGGTGAGGGGATGGGGAACAACAGTCCAGGACAATCAGGTTTCCAAAAGGAATCTTTTGCTGTTGTAACCAGGCCCTGAGAGAAGACCCAGAACTGTACCTGCCTGTTGAGATTCTGCAGGCTCAGGCAGGCTCTGCTCCTCAGTGTCGCCACACATTTGTAGGCTATGAAGTCAATGGCCAAGCCCCACCTAAGCCCATTACTGGCAAAGACTGGAATTAAAGCAGCCTCTAGACAGGCTAAACTGTCTTTGGCCATTCTTACCTCATTCTGAATTCTCTGACTCTAGAAAAATAAAATGTGCAAGATGAGGGAAGCAGATGGGTCATTACAAGAGTTTTGACTCCTATTTGGACATACATTGTTTGCCTCAGGAAAAATAAAAGTGCAACCAGCCTGACACTTTGATCCTGATCAGAGGTTTACAAGATTAAATATTTGGCATGCCTAAAGGACAAAATCTGGTCAAGATCAATTCTTAATGAACTGGAAATAGCAGGCATTACACTAGGGATCTTGTATATCACATATCACAGACTGGGCCTCTTTGGTAATTGACATCTGCAGAAATTTAAGCTTGACTACTTATTCTAAAATAGAGAATACGTAAGTCACAGGTTTACACACCTCCCAAAGACTATACCTTTGTAGTACCTATGTGGCAGAACCAAGGCAAACAGTTATCCTAAAGAGACTATTTCTAAAAACCCCTTATTTATTGAGCCACTTAACATGGATGTTAGAAATCAGTCAATGCACTCCTATAGCCCTTTCTATAAGAAACATTCACCTCTCCTATTGCAGGGAAAAATCTTGAGGTAACTCATTATATCTTACTCATATTTTAATAACCCAGCTCTGTACATAATTGGTGCAAAATAAATGTTTGCTAAATGAAGGGAACCAATCAACCAGATTCCAGAATGACTTAATTAAACCCAATGTCTCCTAGTTTGAGAAAAGTGCGATACCATCAATATGTTCTAGTATTAAACATTTCTGAATTTTTGTGCATGTGTGTACATACACTCACCATTCTAATCACATTTTTACATATGGTGAAAACTTGGGACACATTATGCTTTATATCTCACTAGCAATCCAACAAATTCTTACCAGTATCAATAAAGCAAGGCATTATAAGAGATAAAGACTCCACCACTGTCCTCAAAAAGTAATAGGCTCTTTTTCTCATCCTTATCCCTACTGGGTTAGGGTCCTTCCACAACCCATCTTAGCTCTCATCACAGTTATCTTCTGTGTTTGTCCTCCACAAGCCAACTGCCAGAGGGCTTTCAGGGTCACAATTGTAGCTCCACCTTGCAGTTTTATCCAATGGTAAGCTTTATATACATTGTTTTTATACATTGTTTAAATGAGGAGGGGAATGGCAAAAACTGAATCACAGTAAAAAAAACGAAATAGTTAAGTCGCCTAAGACTGGTACAAAGTGCTATAGAGTTTAGAAAAGAGAGAGGTTACAAGAGAATGTGGTTATTTATTAACATTCATTATATAACATTCATTAACATTTAACATTCCAAGCCACAATCTCCTTTCACAATCAGGAATATAGGCCTGTAATTTTCTTTTCTTATAGTGTCCTTGTCTGGCTTTGATTATCAGGGTAATGCTGGCCTCATGAGTTTGGAAGTATTTCCTCTTCAATTTTTTGGCAGTGTTTGAGAACTGGTATTAGCTCTTCTTTAAATGTTTGGTAGAATTCCACTATGAAGTCATCTGGCCCTTGGCTTTTCTTTGATGGGAAACTAATTAGATTCTGTGTCCTTAATTGTTGGTCTCCTCAGAGCTTCTATTTCTTCTCGATTCAGTCTTGAATCAAGACTTGGTAGGTTTTATGTTCCTAGGAATGTATCCATTTCTTCTAAGTTATCCAACTTGTAGGCACATAGTTGTTGTTAGTAGTAGTTGATAGTAAAGAAAGTAAACCTTGATCTGGACCATGAAGAATAGGCAGGTTTCTGACAACTCCATTTCTTTAAGAAAGGTTGCTCCATGAGGGAAGCATATGTGCCAAGGCAAGGTGCGAAAATTAAGAGGAGGCTTGTTTAAGAAATACACATAAGGAAACAAAAAATAAAACTGAAAAGATTGGAACAATATTTGTAAAGGCTTCAAAATGAAGAATCTAGGCTTAGTCAAATACACATCAGGGAACTTGCGCATTATTTTGACCAAAACTGTAACACATTTAAGCTTAG